GTGTTGTGTGTGTGTGTGTGAGTGAGTGTGTGTGTGTGTGTGTGTGTGTGTGTGTGTGTGTGTGTGTGTGTGTGTGTGTGTGTGTGGATGGGAGGGGGAGAGAAAGAGAGAGCAGCTGAGCGAGGAAGAAAGAGAGAGAGAGACTGTTTGCTTCCCGGTGTGTGTGTGTGTGTTTCTAGGAATGTGTGTGTGTGTTTGCCTAAATTTGTATTTGTATATGAGTGTGTGACAGCGCCGCTCTGTCAGACTGAAGGTTTTTATCTGAGCTCTCCCCCGGAGGTCTGAGCGTTTCTTCTTCTCTTGTGTCAGAGAACAAGTTGAGTGAAGCTGGAAGTCCTGTGAGAGCGTGTGGATAAGAAGACTAGCTGGTCATGTGGCTTTATGTATCCCTGATTCTTTGGGTCAAGCCCTCCTGCCTCCTCCACACCCCCCCACCCCTTTTTTCCGCCCAACGTGTGAGTGCACGAGGCTGAGGAAACAGGAAAAGAGGCAGCAGAGGGGAGGAGAGGAGATGAGGGGTGGTGGTTCATGCAGGTTTAGGATAAAAACCCAAACAGATGCTCTTGTAAGAAAAAAAAAGTCTTTGAATCGCCAAACAGGGGCAGTTCGCCAGGAATCTAGAAATCAAAATACCAGCTTATGGGAGGGAAGCAGATGAAAGAGGGGAAGGTGTCAGATGAGGTTCAAGTTTTCCACCTTTTGTATCGACGCCAGCCTTCTTCCTCCGCTAAAAGCTAAATCACCTGCGTCGTTTGAAGTCAGCGTCACTTGAAGAAAAAAGAACTTATCACTCGTTGAAGTCATTTATTTTATTTTTTCCCTAAAACCACTTTTATTCTTTCCCCTGAACAAAAGCCACAGAAGAAATGAGTCGAACTATTTATTTCGAGCCTTTATCAAACAATAAAACAGGAAGCGGTTATTTTTCACGCTCTGAATTGTGAGAAGCACAACAACTTTTCTTATCGCTGAAAAGCTTCAACAAACTCCTTTTTCAAAATGAAAACGTCTTGCAGGAAGGACCGTAAATTCAGTATTGTTTACTGGAAGCGTAGAAAATCTGTAAAAGAAACAAGGAACTCCACCCAAATACAACACGATCCCTGATCCGCCCTGCGTGGACCTGGTCCAACGGCGGCAGTTAATCAGACTAAAYGAGACAAATTCAGCAAATAAACACGTAAATCGATTAAATATAGTTGTCATGGTAATATAGTGTTTACATGGGGCCAATTTACCGAGAGTCCAAAGACGTGAGTTCCCCCAAAGGGCTGCAGAGACACATGATGGATGGACTGCTTTTGGTCCCGGGCTTCAAACACAAACCCCGCCTCCTCCCGTCGCAGTCCTCCACACAACCTGGTTTTCTGTGTGTGTTGTCTCTAAACACACTTTAGTGGTGCAGAGAGGCCCTTTGACCCCGCCGCTCCGATCATTGTCTCCCTATGCCCCCGGGGGTCCCAGAGGGCGTCGAGCCCGTGACACCCACTCGAGCTCCAACAACCAGAGCACCGTCCAGTTTGACACGCAGCACTTGAGGCCTTTGGTTGGTGTGAAACAACCCCTCACACCTCCAAGGCTGACCAAAGATAATTCACCCTTCAAAAGAGTCCGCTCACTCCTCGCCGACAGAAACTCTGTTATTCTTTCCGATGATGCAATAACGCGAGGTTACGGCGCCATTACCGGTGCAGTTAGTCATCACGAGCAATTTGGCAACATTTAAAATCCAATTTATTTCAAATTTAGGGGGTAAAAGATTCAAAAGCCATGGCGGCGTAACGGCTCCACAAAGTTGTTCCAAATTAGCAGCTAATGTGGTCAAACATCCAGGTGTGAGCTGCGATGATTTATGGCTGCGGACTGATGAGTCGTTAAAATGTAATCCGGACGTGGGATCAGAACGATGTTGTGAAGTTTGGCTGTGGGAGCTTAAACATTGGCGGTTTGTTCACTGTAAAGGTCTTACCTCGAAGCAAAGCCTGTAATGAAAATGTAGCAGATGGCGTTTGCTTGGTGTGTAGCAGTGGATTGTGTGCAGCGGAAGATTGATTTTTTTCTTTTCTTTTTACATTTAGAGACGCTACAAGTCAAGGGGCAGCGATGCGTCTTGACACAGGAAACACTTGGCTGTTTACAGGAAGTGTTTGATAAAGGAATGCTGGGGGTTCTGGATGCTGTCACCAATGATGACATTTCCTGATTCTTGAGTTTTGAATACCCGACAGACATTCCTGAGATAAGTGTAACGCGGATGACAGAGGTGTCCTCGCTCTGAGCCACGTCTTAAACTGAAAGAATCATCAACAGGTGGTCCTTCAGCTGTGGCTAAATTAGTCACCTGCTATCAGGGAAAAAAAACCAACATGTTATTTACAACACTCACAATAATTGTGTTTCCTGTTTATCATCCGCTTCTATATAAAGCTCCAGTTTTCTGAGATGCTGCCGAAATGCACGGATGTTTGTTTGCTCTGATGTTTAGATGATTAAATCAACAGCTTGTTATTGTTTTGTATAAAATTAATGCTTCCGCTTTTTTGTTTGGAGCCTCCATCAAATGGTGCATTTTTATTAAAATGGAAAAGAAATTAAACCACAGTCATGACAGAAGTCGTTAATTTCATCTGAATCTCAGAATAAAATTAGGATCAGGCTTTTTAGAGCAATCAGCCAAAACAAGAATGTTAGGATGTTTTTATTTGGATGCTTTTAAGGTAAAAATGAAACAAAATATGTTCTGCCATCACTTTATGTCATTAACTGCGCGGTCGCAGGTGGTCTCAGATGCGGGTTTGAAATAAGCATTTTAAAATGTTTTCAAAATAAGTCTGGCGCTTTGGAGAAAATCCAGGACATGCTGGAGGGATTATATATTCCCTCTGGCCTGGGAACGTCTCGAGTCCCCCAGGACGAGCTGGAAAGTGTCGCTGGGGAGAGGGAAGTCTGGGTCTCTCTGCTGCTGGCCCGATCCCGGATAAGCCGGCCAGACGGACAATTTATATTGTTAGTCTAAATTATTACATTTAAAATTATAACTCTAATTCAAGCAGAATAGCCTATTGTCAACATAATTATGGAGTGTGATTTATTTTCAACTCAAAATATCTTCAAACTAACAAAATATAAAGTTTTTAGGGAGGAAAACCCGTCTGGATAACAGCAGACTGACTGCTCGTAAAATATACGACAGGTCTGGACCACTCGTGAATTTTGTTTGTATCTGAAAAAAATCTTAGAATACGAAAACATTGGTTCTTGCATGAGGCCCAATGTGAGGAAACTAGAATATACTGGTGGTTGCAAACAGTCATGCTACATTTACACCAAACACGTTTTGAGCATCAGGAGCATCTGGTTTACATGCAAAGTCAATGGTGGACGTGCATCTAGGGGCGTCTAGAAGCTAGAAGAAGGTGCAAACGTCATGAGCGTTTTCTGTGAGTGCGGCATGTCCAAAGTGTCCGACGCTTGAGTTGGAAAATCTGAACTTTTGCTGCTCGATGCGTCGCATCAATCAGAGAGACTCTGTTCRGTGACGTAGTGGTGACGAGCCTGGGAAATCGGATCACACAAACAATGGAGGAAAAACYGATTGTCCGATCATTAATGATCATTCCAGTGTCCGTTATCGTCATAGAAACAAAAAGGACTTTGCCTGGAGGACGATTAGTGAGGAAGTCGGCATGTCTGGTAAGTTATCAAAATTACAGTTAAAAAGACTCCTCCTATTACGCGTCTAAAGAAGCGCATCTACGTTCACATCGAATGCGTCTGTCCTCACTGGACACCAGTGTCGGGAGGCGTGCATTTTGAGATTTTTGGAGGTGCGCAACGTGTTTGGTGTAAATGTAGCCTAAGGAAAGGTTTCCAGATCCCATCCCACTTTAAATGATGGTTTGATG